CAGCGGCGTCGCTGTTGCTGTTGTTATCCTTGTTCTTTTCGGTGGTGGTCCTGGCGGCGATTGTACCTCAAATACGAGCACAAATCCTCAAGTTGGGGCCTGCTCCTGGCATCATTAAAGCCAAGTTGCCTGTGCGGACTTGCATGCTGCGGCGAGTGGCGCCGAATGCCTGTGCTAGTATCAGCTGAGCCGTAGCGCCACTCTTCTGCCTTCACCTCCACGCAGCAAAGTTGAATCAGTACGTGGGGTTTCTGCGCACGCACCCCTGGACATCCCTTCGATTCCACTTTGGACCGCGGGGCAATCTCTGGCAGTGCATCCAGCACCAACACAGCGCAAGCTGCAGCGGTCCTCCCAAGTTCGTGGCACTTGGCACGGCTCGACGCGGCAACGTTTTCGAACACTCGGTCCTTGTGCGTCAAGCGGCCAAAATAGGTGCACAAAAAGGGCGGTCACCCATGCGAGGGGACGTGATCCCGCCTGGAACTCGAGCGCCATTGAAACGAAGCAGCCGCTGCCAGCACACACACACACACATACGCATACACATACCGATACCCATACAGATACATACACATACCCATACCCATACACATACCCATACCCGTACCCATACACATAGACATACGCATTCATACACAAGCCCAAGCACAGCACAAGCGCAAAACAAACACAAACATGGACACGGACAGGACAGCAAACCTGACACAGACACAGACACACAAACACAAACGGAGACCCAAATAAATAGACACAGACAGTAATCAGAGACAGAAACAGAAACGAAAATGCAAACCCAAACACACAAACAAAACAACAAAAACAACTCAACACAAGCGCAAATGCAAGCGCAAAGGCAAGAGCAAACATAAAGGCAAGCGCAGGCGCAAGCACAATCACGACGAACACAAACACAAATAAAAACACAACCGCCCGCCTCAAACTGCATCTCAGAGGGCACGGTGCCTGCCAGAAAGTGCTCAACTGCACTCGTTCCAGAATCCGCTCCCCAAGACTTTGTGAATGCAACCTACGAGTGAATGTGTTTTTCCCCAATCCTCAACCACTCAAAAAAACACGAGGCCAGTGATTACTAAACCTCTGCGAGGCATATTGGATCGAATATGTCAGAGTTTCCAACCACAATGATGCTGTGTTTATCATTAGGGTGCGGTGTGTGTGTGTGTGTGTGTGTGTGTCTGGAAATATCACACAACTGCATATTTGCTTGGAATTTCAAGTGCGATTGGTCCCGTTGACAAGTCCTTGTTTGATCAAGTCCGGCGTCCCTAAGACCTTTGATATGTTGCAGAGGCAACCTGCCCAGTCAGTGGGAGTGCTTTCTGCTGCAACCAACTTGTGTGCAAAGCTAGCTCTTATCAACACCCTTCATGCACAGCTTTCTCCTGCGGGGTTGCATGGGCACATTCCCCTGATCTACCAAGCCAATTGCTCAGCCACTCTTCAGCTACCTGGAGCCTCTGTGACTGACTCTGAAAACATGGGGCCATTACACAAAAATAGGAGGTCAAGACTCGACCCGAACTGGACTTATGCCTGCGATCCCAACAGCAGTGATCAACACCTCAGGCCCTAATCGACCAAAGCAAGACCCACTTGCCAACTCATGAAGAAAGCGTGAGTGGAAATAGACTTGGAGGTCCCAGTCTGCATCTGAACTGGAAGGACCCGCTCCCTCTTTGCCCTGCGCCAACTTCCCCCTGCCTGGAGGCAGTTCCAGCGTGACATCCACGCCGGACTGACGCGATATTCTTTCCGGCAACGGAAGGCCACTCAATTTGACCGAAAAATGTAAACACATTGAGCTCCCACCAATTAACATGGAACCTGGCGTTTGGGAGGTCTTGGTTTGGATCATTTGCCTTTAAAAAGGGACCTCCTGTCAGGTTCCATGTTAATTGCTGGGAGGATCATGAATGTGGGTGAAGTACCCTCTCAGCAACACGTATGCACGGACCTTCTTGAAAGATTGCTCGAACCTTTGGAAGCCTGAACCATTCAATGTTTGATGGGGTATCGGTATAGTACTTCACCAATCCACACTAAGATAAACGATGAAAACAACCTTCATGGGGCGCGAGATTACACCCCCCCCCTATCCGGTCGGTGTGATCGCCGTCATTTTCCCACTGGGCCCTTCAGAGGTGAACACCTCACATCCTAAGATGTTCATTTTACCGGACAGCTTTGAAGTGCGATCCAGCATGTCCAGCCACAATTTTCGGCCTTCCCTTTCCATGTCAGTCGCCCATTTCGGGCCCGGAAATGAGAGCTGATGACCCGTTGGGGCCATGACCAAATATGGACCAGCACAGGAAAACCAAAAGGTCAGGTGGCTGTGGGTCAAAACTGTGTGCCCAAAATGGAACCCCAGCATATGGAAATAAGGACAAAACCAGCGGTTCCCTAGTGGTTAAAATTTTGACCCCCATGCCCACGCCAAGTCTATTCGCTTTGGGGAAGTAAGCCATACCACTTCTTTCCCATGTCGGTCGAACAGCCCGGGCAGCGCCTTGACGCCTCCCACCACCTCAAGCAAATTCACCCGTTTCGCGCGACAGCGTCAACATATGCTACACTCCACGGGCATAGAGAACTGGGGGAGAAGTGAGTCCCCCTGTGTCCCTCCCAAATTTACCATAGACTGGGCATGTTGAGCGAATTTGCAGTGAATGCACAAGCCAGCGGCAGGATTTGATTCGAAAGGTCTAGCTTCCAGGCATGGTGATTGCCAAATAGCTGAACACTTCTCCATCCTCTCTTGGCTTCCTTCAGATTTGCGAGCTACTTGAAGCCCAGCATGCCGAAAGGACATACCAAGCGAAACCAGTCTGTATGGGTTGTAGCGCAGCGCGCCAGCCCTATCAACGGATCAGACCCTTCCATTTTTTGATTACCCCATGGACTTGAGGGTGCTTGTTGTCTCCCTTTCCTGGGCGATCCCCTGCCAAAATAGTGCTGGTTCCCAACCACAATTGTTGTATAGCGAGATTCCCCAACCTTATAGTTCAATTATGTTGGCCCCGCACCCCATGCCCCTCCAGAAAGGAACAAAACTTCAAAACAAACAAATGTCAGACACCTCCCCCTCTAAAAAGCACACACACACATAATCATACAAACAAACCAAACCAAACCAAACAAACCAAACAAAACTACAACACAACAAAAGCACTAAAAACCAAAACAATGAAATAACACAGAACAAAATAAAAACAACAAACAATCAACAAACAACCAACCACACACTAAAAAACAAAACACTAAAAAACAAGCAAACAATGAAAACACACAACCAATCAACCAACCAACCAAATTAAAACAAACAAACAACAAACAGGGATCCTTACATTGTACAACTGAACAATGCCTTGTAAATGGTGGTTTCCCTTTCTTTTGGTGGAAAAAGCAACATGTTTCAAATGGTTGCAAAATGTATCTTTTGAGCTTGGTTGCTGGTGCCCCCTCAAACAGTTCGACTGTTTTGGGGTTTAGTGGAAAACACCTGTATTTCAACCAAAAGTTAAAGTCTGAAGATCCAACCCAATAGCAGTCAAGTAAGGAGCCCTGAACCACACCCGAAGCACCCGACCCGCACCGGGGCCGGCGCCAGAAAGGCGGCCCTGGCCGAGCCCGGCGCGGACGCGCTGAAGTGGAAGGCCAGGAAGCACCTCGCGGCTCAGGGCTCCCGAGATTTCCCCTTTGAGCATCTGGGTGTGTGTGTGTGGGGGCCAAGGGACACTCAAAACAACCCATGGGCAAAAAAGGTGATGTTCAAAACAACCCAAAAGGGAAACATAGGGAGCTCTGCGGACAAGCCGTGAGCCATCCGTGTGGTTCGGGGTTTGGGCTTGTCCCTGGGGTAGAACGTGGGTGTTTTACCTGTGCTATTTTAAGCAACCTTTGTTTATTTGGCGTAAAACGTGGTAAAAGCAAAAACATGGTTTCTAACCTCTTGCTTTTAAGCAACCTTCGGGTTTCCGGAAAAAATAGTGGGGGGGGAGGGGTTGTTTTCACCGTGATTTGTAAGGCAACCTTCGGGTTTCCTTGAAAGTGGGCCAGGGGTGGGTTGTTGAAACGCTTTGCAGCCAGGCACCTGGCTTCGTTGGAGGGGTTGACCCCGTCGTTCTTCTTGAGAGTAGATGGGAAACAACCCTGGAACACTTCTAAACCAGCGAACTCCAAACCACCAATTTAAGGGTTTCTGCGCGGGACGGGAACTACAAGGACCTTTTGGGACCTCGACTAAAAATGGTTGCCACGAAGGGAAGCCCTTGACCAAACATGGGCCAAGAGAAACCCAGGTGTAAAGTTGAGCAGCGCACGCCGGAGTTGACAGTTGGTTCTAGGGTGGCTCTACAGAATCCTTCAGGCTTTGCTGTTCATCAAGCCAGGTAGGACCAACTAAAATGGCCCACAGGCGTTCTGATCGCTGCTCAGTTCCATGGGAGCACTGTCAAAGAAAGCGAACGCGTGCTTTTTTCTTCTTCTGCGGTTTCTAACTACAAGCAAGTTGTCTCGCGCTCTGCCCCGGCGTCTCTCTACACCAAGCCCAGCACCCATTCTCATCTTTCTCCAGCCGGCAGCTATCCTGAGCTGTGCGCAAGCAGTGTGGCAAGGATGCTCAGATCCAAAAAGGATGGCTCGGCGCACAAAGCTGAGCTTGCGCAGTCTAGGGGGGCAAGTCATCAGTTGATTGTAGTCTAAAGATCCAACCAAGAAGGTGTGCCTTTTGTGGCTACCCTTCGCCAATTCGCCTCCTCGAGGCCAATCCAAGCCACTGAAGCTGAACTGGTGGACCAAAATGACCAAACTGGAAACAAGGGACATCCTCCATTTGCTTAAGCCCCCCCCTGGAAACCACGGAAATGTGTCCGGTATTTGGATTGCCTTTAAAACCAGCAGGGGACAATCAAATAATTCTTAAGCGAAGTTTTAAACGAGGCTTTCTCTCTTTGATCTTCACAGCAAAAGCTCTCCTCTTTTTGTGTGGTTGTGTGTGTGTGTGCGCGTTCTTCTTTTATTTTTGGTTGGGGGAACGCGCTTTGCTATTGTGGAACTCATGGGGAAAAGGGTACAAAGGGGAAAGGAGAAGATGGGACACTGGGAGAAGGGCAGAAGTTGGGGAAAGGGAAACGGGGAACAGGGAAAAGGGGAAAAGGGGAAAAGGGGAAAAGGGGAAAAGGGGAAAAGGGGAAAAGGGGAAAAGGGGAAAAGGGGAAAAGGCAAGAAGGGGAAATGGAGAAAAGGAGACAACGGAGACGGGGAAAAGGGCACAAGGGAAAAAGGGGAGAAGGGGAGAAGATGACTATCATTCCCAATCTGGAAATAAGGTAGCCCCGAAGGAACTTCATGGGTTACCTTTTATCCCCTTTTTGCCCAAACGAATACCTGATGCCTGCATACTATCAGGGGCCCGTGTACATTCCACGCATTATCACATTGTGATCATGACTTAATTTGCTTTCAGAGTACCCCACAACCCCATTTGGACTCTCCTCATAATATATTTAATATGAAGCAGATGCTCCTCAAACTGCATAGGATCCCCAACAGAACCCCACCCCTTGTTGTTTCCCCTTGCATACATCCAAACAAAGGGTTGCTACTGGTTGCACCCAGTTCCGAAAGTGACGAAAGTGCAGGATTGCCAATCAAAGGGGACACCCCTATGACTTGCTGGTGCGATAGGTACGAAATGTGGGAATGAACCCAGGGATTCCCTCAAAGGACACCAGCAGTTGGATGGTTTACAAGGCTCATTCTGTTTCTCCTTCCCTGCATCTCTCGCACCAGCAAGAGATCCCGAGGCTTATACATCCGGACTTCGCATTAGATCCTTATGTGGCCATGGGTCAAAACCCAAATCGTACCCCCCAGTGAACATCGCAATCCCCACTAAACTAAAACCTAAAATGGGTGGTGCACCGACCCCTAAAATGGGATCCCATTGGTCTTGACCCACGGCCATGTGACTCCATGCAAGCCGATGCGCTCGCTGCAACGCCACCAAGCTCTTCAGCACCGGCGCCTCCGTCACTTTGGACGCCTCATGACGCGAGCGCCAGGGCCAGGATGCTACTGACATCTTGTTGACACATTGGATATCTTCGGAGAAAATAGCGGACACAGCGACTGACACAGACTCATTTAAATTGAACATGAACACATCATGGCGGTTGATGTAACCCCTGCAACCGGAGAAAAGCGCCATATTTTGTTGGATGGTTTCTGAAATTGAAGCAAGTCAAGAAGAGTGGCTGCAATATGTCATCCTTCCGACAACATATAGTGGGGTGTCTTTTTTGGAGGGTAAATTTTTGCGACAAAAGGACTGCCATCTTGGGCCATACCAGGGACCCTACCTCAGGAGGGAGAAGCTTGGCAGAACAGCTCCGGCTCAAAACAAACGATCTGGTGTGTCTACAAGACCAGAGGCATGGCCTCCTGGAACATTCGATAGGATTCCCCGCGTGCAGTGACTAGAAAGGGGCCCAAGAGGTTTGTTTCGGGCTGACCCCATTCTCCTTCAGTGTCTGAGGCTCTGATGCACCACGGGCTGAGAGGTGCTCTCAAGACCCGGTAGAGATTTTGTCGAAATGGGGACAAGTGTTCACGAAAGTTCTACCCTTGTGGCTCCAGACCGCCCTCCTGCGACGAGTGCCCACACCTGGGGTAAGGATAAAATTATGAAAAGTAACAAAGGCAAAAAGGTTAAACAGGTAAGTGGAGTTTAGCTACTGTGGATGGACGAAACCCTGCACCACTTTGAAACCAAGGAGAAGCATTGTTGGTTGGCATTTACAGGGCCATCCTTCTTCCCAGAGTTCCTTAGGTGGTGCTGGATTTTGTCCATCCACAGTATGGTGGCAAGTTTGGTCATTTTCATCGGAGCAACCCTGTAAGGCGCTTGGCCAATTGCATGCGCTGGGCTTTTGGTGCGACCCTCGCGTGAAAGCTGACCAATGCTGTGGCCATGGGAAGAAAGGCACTGTCGTCTTTCCTTTTGGAGGGGGAAGTGAGGTATTGGATTGTGAGCCCAAAGGACCCGAAATGAAAAGGTTCACGTCTTGGGACCACGAATAGACCAAAACAAGAAAGCCAAGGTCACAAGGTCGATTCGAATTGGGCAACTAAGTGATTTTAAAGGACACCTGCTTCAAACAGAAAACACTGGGGCCCTGGGCTTAACATGATCCGCCAGAAACATTTCTCAGATTCCACCCAGCATCACGCCCAGTCGGCGGACCCAAGTTGGCTTCACTGAATTGGGCTTCTGCCCGTGTTCAAGCGATTTTACCACCCCTTCTTGGCAAACCAGGCAACATTTCACCTTTCCTCCAATTGGTGGTTTGGATGTTGGGGGTATCTTCCCCCATTCGGTTTCAAGGCTACGGGTCAAATCCCACCAACCCAAGCCACCAACTAAAGCTATCCTTGGCCCATCCCATGTGAACAGGAAGAAAACAAAAAAACCCGGGGCAACAAACCAATGGTAATCTACGCTCACAACAAACACCATGTTCAGCTCTTTTAGGCCCACCGTCTCCAGGGTGCGCTCACCCTATTCAAACAACATCTTTTCTCCCCTAAGAGAACAAGGGCTTGGCTGCTTCAACCAAAGCAACTCAAAGATCGGCGCAAAGGAAAAACATGCTCAAAAACAGATGAAGTTGACTCAAAAAGGAACCCCGCAAAATCATCGTTGCTCTTTAGTTGCCCTTTACAGCAGCCTCAAAAGGGTAGGTTACGCAGAAAACGACATGTTCCGTCTCTGTTCTAGATTTAGTCTAACTTTAAGAAACTACTATCAACAAGCTTTGGAGAAGACCCCAGTCTCCAGAAAAGGCCCTTTCCACTCCTGGCAAGGCTTTGGAGATGGCGCGTTGGGTGGCGCTTGCCGCGCCTGCAAAGCGAGTGATGGAACATTGAAACAACACACGATACACCTAAAAAGCCACCTGCCACATGTAGAAGCTTGACATAGTCGGTACAGGTGGTTTCTGGCCAACATATATCCTTCAAGGAACCCAAAAGGCAATCGCTTCGAAGATGATCTTCGTGGGGAATTGCCTGGTAGAAAAGGGACGAGAATCATGAGCCATGAGAGCCATGGCCAAGATTCGAATGAGACAGTTGACACGGATGTGAATTTCAATGAGGGACCCGTAATCGACATCGTTTAGGTGGGGAGGACAATGACCACAAACCACTTTTGAGGTGGTTCCCTAATAAAAAATCATCTCCAAATGAGGTTTTTGAAGGGTAACCCAAGTGTGCTCCATGTCATTTTCTTTACTGCAGCGGTGGAGAGTTCATGTTGACCGTTCTAAGTGGGAACAAGCACAGACCAAATGGGAACGGGTGACACTGAACAAAATGGTAGGAATCCCGAGTCAGGGGCGTTGTCATCGCCACTCTGCAACGGGTCAACTCCGTGCTTTGTGGGCACCCCTTTTGGATTGGTTTGTAAAGGGAACCAAACAGAAGCTCCGCCCATACTGGATGCTGGGGCGGTCGGGACCCTCATTTTTTGGAGCCACTCAAAATCAGCACCCCGGGCATCAACGGGAATCATGCCCATTGCCAAGCTCCAAAACACCAACACCGGCAACAGGACAACGACAACCTGAAAGAATATGAAAGGGCATGGAATACATTAATTTGACTGAAAGAAAAACAAAGACAATGATCAGCATCTGAATGAAGGACAGGAACGAAAAGAAAGACAGTGGCATCGAACTGGAATCTAAGTTTGTTCAACCTGATATTTGGAAATTCAAGAAAGGCGCCTTCATGAGGTCCGAGGTCGCTAGCCAGCCCGGGGTGAGGTCGTGATGCGTCTCCAATATTTAAATACACATGTAACTTGTATACATCAATGTATGTATATATGCTCACAGTACACAAATGTGTATATATATATATGTATGTATACACACGCACGCACATGTGATCACACTCCATGAACCACACACGTCTGTGTATTATCTCTCGCTCTATACATGCGGAAAACATATAAATCGACATGCACACAAATTAGCTCAGTTCAGTACCCATTTTGGAAATAAGGCAAGCATGAACATCAAACAAATGGATACCCGGAGTCTCCGTGACCCTTTGAACATCAAAGGAAAGGGGTCATGACCTCCAAGTTCAAAGGGTTATGGAGACTCCAGGTATATTCAAACAAATCAGCTTGACCAAATCGAGATCACATCATTTCAGCCATCGGCCTGGGGAGGAGGCGCTGCATAGGCTGCCGGGGCGCCTCACGTCCCAATGGGTCTGGCTCCAACTAGGGGCCCGTCAAGGGACAGCTAAGGACACCATTTTGGGGGCTTCCCTATGTGGAGATTAACTCTTCTTGGGTACAAGAGGGGGTTTGTGGGAAATGGATATGTGTCTTCTGTGTCAAGGGAGTCGAACCCCAGACGCAAACTTCGCGTTTACCTTTCGTCGATTGAAACCAGCCCCCAACAAAAATTCAGGGTACACCACCCAAGGGGATCCTCGAAATGTGCTTGGAACAAAAAGGAAACAACAGGTTACCCTAAAATAGACACACGGGAAAGCACCACCTATTAACTGGCTGATGAAACAGACCCTGGTGACCCTCGTGGTTGTCTAAATGCCCAAGGCGCTGTTGACCTACCAACCCCAGAAAACGCACACTTTGACCCTGGCACCTATGTGTGGTTCCTGTTTCCCGGAGTTCCAATATGCTGGTTTTGCGCCAGTTTAAGCGTGGTTTTGGACTGCCAATTTAACCTTCTTCTGTCGATAACATGTTTACAGGTTGGACACGATGTACAAAGCCGCAGAACAAGACTCAAAGAGATGCGCCGTTGAGCAAGTATATGGACGTCCCCATCCCAGTTGTCCGGTGCCTTTGGCAGAAACAAGAGAATGCCACTCACCAATTGGGCTCAGGCAATTCAATTGCGACTCAGGCCATGAGATGCGTGGCTCCTTGAACTGCGAGACTCACCATGTTAATGCCAAACTCACCCACGCCAGTGCGGAAAACAGACCCTGTGCGCTGCCGGATGTGCAATCACCAGGTCCAACGTAGCACTTGGGGCTTGTTCTACTCGTTCTGCAGGGAATTTGCGAAATACAACAAAAAAGCACTTGACTGGACTGTTTGGCAAGGCGTCATTGACTTCGTCGAATGTCTGTGCTTCTTTTGAGCCAGTAGCCCTGTGGGGCTTGGCTTAAAAGGCTGATTTGGAGACTCCCCTCTCTTGCAGCCCATGGAGTGGATGGTAAAAGGAAAACCTGCTTCGCATTCATCGCGGGCGAGAAAGGGGAAAAAGACATAAAACAGACCACTGGAGGTTTGCATAAGTGGAGACACGTTCTTAAAACCATGCCGTGACATTGCTGCATGGACACCGAGGAATTTGCTGCCAGCAGACTTAAACCCAGCGAGCTCAGCACCCGAAGCCCTTCAGGTTTCAGCTGATTTTTGCACTTTCGTTTTATCAATTCGCCCAACTGGACAAACGGAATTCCACATAAGCACCTTGGGGGGGGGGGGTGAGCTGATTTCCCGGCAGGAGTCATGAGCTCGGCATAAGTTGCCCTGTTTAAGTGTACCGTTTACTCCAAAACATGGAACCACTTCCGCGGTACCAATCCGCGCTCCCTGTCTGATCAAGTCAAGGACTCCCTTGGCCAGGGAAGCTGGCAACCAAACAGCTCAATCTCCCACAACCATGGGCTTGGCCCGCTGGGGTGCTGCATATACATAATGTTTCATATGTTCTTGGACATCTGGGGTGCTGCACATATACATGTATACATATATATAAATAATGTTTCGGATGTTCTGGGACTCTTCGAAACCGTGACCCCATTCTTTTGAGAGCTCCAGGTCGTCTCCCCATCGTTTTGGAGACCTTCGGCCAAGACTCGAACGAACGGATCCCGTGCCTTCGGCACGGACAGAGGCTGCACAGCCCATGGCTGAGATTCTAGGCAGAGGATTCCACCCGTGCTGTCCGGCGAAATGAAAAATACAAGCTTGATCGAGCTTTGAAGCTGTCCTTGCTTTCAGATGGGCAAATCACTTGACTTCCATTCTGCAGCCTTTGGGCTTTCCTTGGAGAAAAAACACCAAAGAATATGGGCAATCTTCGCGCCCAGGTGCCCTGTTGCCATCAGCTCGGCTGGTCTGTAAGCTCCAGCCCTATGGCAGGTTGCCATTCCAGTGGCCTGAGAACATGGGGGCCCTTTTCGGTTGACCAGTTCTTCCAGGGCACCAATTAAGGTAAGGCCACAGAACAAGCTAATGGGTCACGAACCCCATTCCTTGGGACTCCTGTCACTCGAGCATGGCTGCCGGAACCTGCAAACTCGCTTTCCAATACACGATCTTCACAGATCTATGACAAATCCTTCATTCAGCACTGCTCAGAGAAGGCTTGATCATTCAATCATTCGCTTTCGCGTACTGCCTTGCTGGACATGATTCAGATACACACCATTGATGCAAACAAGATATAGAGTGTCGGTGCTCTATGACCGCCTTTCGACAAACACATGCAGAGTTCATCAACATGTCTCAGCAGGAACTTTTCTCAAATATCCAAAAGCTCTTGCGCATACTGCTTGCATTGCAGATTGACAATGGTAATATACACATACGCGTATACATATTATATATATACACTTCTAGCCCCGGGGAAAAAAAACAACAACTCCAAGACACATGGCTGGTATGTACGGCACTGTTGAGTCATGTTCACACTTCTCCCATACCCCTCCCCCAACTCATCTCCCAGTTGTTGAAGTCCTCTGGAACAAATCAGCATACTTCCAGTAGTAATTCCACTTGAAACCAACATGGACAACAATACTTGTTCTCACATGTTCTCTTTAGCAAATGGGATCTAATCTCTCTTCTCTCTATGTTTTTAAAAATAAGAAACAAAACAATAATAATAATAAAGAGGAACTATGTGTATATATATATATATTCATTCAAACAATTTTGCACATCATTCGTGTTTTCCAGCCCGCGCATCTGTTCCGTCATCCATCTGGTCTCTGCCTGGGCAGCGATGACCGGAGAAACAAAACCGGTTCTTCGCGCCAGTAGGTAGCAACAGCAGTCTGGGGAATCTGTTTCATATTGTACAATATATTCAGTCTACCCTAAAACATTCTGATTCCGATTCTGATTCTGTTCCAAACATATCATTTTCTGATTCTGTTCCATATTAGATATATTCAGTCTACCCTAAAACACAGCACATTTTTGGAGAAGACCCCAGGGTAGGTGGGAACTCCCAAACAACTGTTTATGATTCTGTTCTATATTATATATTCAGTCTACCCTGAAAATTTAACACATTTTTGGAGAAGGCCCCAGGGTAGGTGGTGTATCGCAGAATTCATATGGATTCATTTATTTCAACTGGTGTGAAGCGGATTGTGCCAATCCACAGTAGGCGTCCTTTTGGGAATACATGGATTCCACCTGCAAGTGACTATATAGAACCACACTGAAACCAGGGCCATCAGGGGGGTCTTAAAAATAGTGGTCCCCCAAAATGGTTGGTGTCCTTTTGGTAAAAGGGGTGCGCAATGTTCAGAAACACTCGTCTGTTTTCAAAAGCCAAGGGCCAGCGACCCGCACTTCCGATTGAGTGGATGGCAAGCAAACAAAAACTCCCCAACTTGTTCTATGCCACTGACAAGGTCTTTCCAAACAAGTATGAAGTCCATGAACTCAGGAAGTGAGGACCTCACTATGCCCGAGGCGCCCACATTTCGAGACCTCCTGCTGGATGTACTGCATCGGATCTCCACCTCCCGAAATTCCAGGCATCTCACCAGAACCCGTTGGGTTTTTACATGATACACGATGGTTCTACCATTGATGGTAACATGGCCATGAGTCAAAACCCAAATCGTACCCCCAGTGAACATCCCAATCCCCACCAAAAAAGACTAAAGTGGGTGGTGCACCTACACAAAAATGGTACCATTGGCTTTGACCCACAGCCACATCTACGTTTCAACCTACATGACAGACTTAACCATGATACATGAGGCTGCCTCTAGGTTTTACTAGTCTTCCCGTGGTTGCCTTGTATGGCTGGTCTGAAAGCACCGGGTGAAACAAGAGCTGATGAATCGGATCCCTGCATATGGAGCTCGTTTTGCCCGCTCGTTTTGCCCACAAGTGTCGCCGTAACATTAGCGGTTGAATCAACAGTGGTCTCAATTATATCAATCCCTACAACGGGAGCTGGTGGGGGGCGCCTTCCCAACTCCATGTTGAAGCCGTCAAACCGGTTCCCAGTGGAGTTCTATTGACATGTCTTCAGCGTTCCACTCACCCAAAAGCAGACCCGCAAAAGGCGATACCGGCCGGGAAGCGACTGCAAACCAAGACGTCAACAGACTTTTCAATTGGTCATCTGACTTCCACTCATCCGAGGTCTCGACTTGCCCTGACTTTGAGGGCTTTCCAAAATTCGTGACAGGGACGAGCAAAAGGTCCTGACCTTTTGTAGGTTTAATGGACAAGTTAAATCTGTTTCCAAACGCTCCTGAGGCTCCCGATTGAACCCCCCTCCCAGAGGGCACGGAGAGCAGGATTTCGAGCGAGCTCCCGGATGATCCCATGGGATTCCTGGCAAAGCTCACTTTAACTTGTTACTTTTGCCGATTTGTGTAAACAAATGGTATTTCAGCCTTTAGAGACTGGAGGCTTGGTCAGTGGTTTCCCATTAACCCTCCACAAGAAGCGGGGGTTCCAATCCAAATCCAAACCAGTTGGGAGTTACCTGAATAGTTGTTTCAATTCACCTTTCGAGGCCCAAATCATTTGTGAGTGGCCCTTCAAGGGGAAATCCTGGAAGACCCAGGTCTTGTCAGGGGGTTGTGAGAAACGTGGACGCTTGTGCTGTAGACCTCGGTGCCGCCGGTAGGTGCCGGCTTCTAAAAGTGAGTACCAAAAAGGGCGCCTAATCTGCAAAAACACACACAGCAGTTGATGTTAAACAGTAAAGCCTAATTTTTGAAATTCGGCCAGCACCAAATCCCGTGAAACCATTTGCAAAGCACCGGCTCGGGCCAAAGAAATCCACAGGCTGGCGGCAGGGGCCAACCAACTTGTTCGGACATGCGTAAAAACACCAGGTCTGGGCCAGTTGTGTGTGTGTGTCAAAATCCTCCATTTGCTTAAGACCCCTTGGAAACCACAAATCCAGTAGGGACAGATTCCCTTTAAACTCAACCGGGGAAAACACACATATTCTTAAGCAAATCGATGACATAAGGGGACCCCAGAAACTGGGTGGTGTCCTTCTTGTTTCCCTTTAACACCACCCAAGGGTACCCTTACAAAATGACACATGATACGCCCACAGGGCTATTTGATATTTGGCACCATAACCCCTTTAAAGGGAAGCAAAAGGAGGTTTAACAAGCAGAGGTTTCTGCATGTTGAAACAAGAGGGTTGAATCGCACAACCCATTCGAGTCTCTGTTCAGAATGCCCATGCTGGGTCTGATTTAAACAGTGCCTGGTAACGGGAAACAAAAGGACGCCAAACAGCTTTTGTATCTTTGGGTTTCTATTTGGCTATGTAAAGCTCCGAGCCACCCTGATTAAACAACCTCCTTCTTGATTCCCTTTCGAGGAGGGTCTGGATTTGGAGTGCCCATGAACGCTGGCGTCCCTCCTCTGGACAACCTTGAAACGGGCGCTCTGAAAACACGGATTCAAATCCATTGACAGGCACTCCTGGTCAGGCACCCTGGGATTGCCCATCTTTGAAACAAAGGGAGGGGGTGCTTTTTGAAATTTTGAAGGGACAACAAAAGGACACCCAACCATGGCTGGGGCCCAAATCCATATTTTGACACGCACCCCAAAAAGGGAGGCTGGAATCCGAACACTTGGCCCGTAGCGCCGCGGACTCCGGACCCGAGCTGGGGTTCTCTGAGGTATGGCTTGCCAAGGGAAAGGGTTCCGAGTTCCTGTCTGGGGGATGTGAATTTGTCTCCAGAACCCCCCAAGATGATTTTGGTTTCCCTCTGTTTCGCAAATAAGTCTCAGTTGTCGCCAACAAACGCTCAGGAGTGCAAGTGGCATTCCAAGCATGTCGCGCTTCTTCTCTTCTAATCACAACTTAACTTGGTTTTAATGTCCTCAACGCCCATTCTAAAATAATAAAGGCGCCTTTACCACCCGTTCCCCCAAATTCCCGGCACGTCTCCTGTCGGGGTATGGACGCCAATTCATCCAGGGCGTCATTGTTCAGGACCTGGCCGTGCCCAGCGCATTGCGACGGTGCGAGTCAGCCCCCTTTCAACCGGTTGAAACCTCCATGGTCCAAACAACCTGTTGGCATCCCTGACTGGCCACACAAAGATCCAAACCCAAAAAGCTTCAAGTCCAGGAACTCAGGGAGCGAGAAAATGATCGTGATGACTTGGACACTTTCAACCGAGCTGGGCGTCCAAAACGGCGCTTGCACTCATAGAGAAAGCTCGCGGGGAAAAAAAAAAAAAAAAAAAACAACAAAAAACAAGCTTCGGTGTGAGCGATTGTCCAGAACCTCTCCCAGCGTTTGAGGACCCTGATGGCCCATGCTTTTTTTGAGAACGCCCATCCCGGGAAGAAATGCTTGAGATTCCCAAACAGTGCTTTTGTATTTGGGTGTACGGCAAACCCAAAAGGAACCCACTCATTATGGGAGCCCTCAAAAAAATACATCAACACATTAAATAGTATATATAACAAATAAATAAACAAATAATTCAATAAATAAGCAAATACATACAGAAGACGAAAAAAGAAAGAAAGGAACCTATTCATCATAGGGGCCCTTAATGCCCCGATTTTCCTTGGGGGTTGAATACCGCCCGCCGATGTCGCTCGCTCCGAGCTTCATCTTTCCGGGTGCCCGGCCACGCCCAAGGAGACCGCCAGTTCCATCGCAATGCCCTGCGGGACTGGATCTATCACAAGGGGTGCATGGGGGGATTCCCAAAATGGCTAATATCTAGTATCATATCATGAATAATATGTATATATTGGGTATATGTAGATATGTAGACCTTTATGTATACCTATATATATATATATACAATTATATGGGAACCCCCCCCAGCGCCAGGGATCTACCTCTGTGAAGTTTGGCCAGAATATGCGAACACACAGCTATACATATATATATATTTATAATGTTGACCCCAGATTTATAAACGCGCCCAATGCATAGCGATCCTCCGAATGAAGGAACTTTGGCTCCCACCATGTCTCATAGTCAACAACGACCATCTCTACCCCCATCAATGAACTGCACAGTTGACGCCAATGAGGGTTTCCCTGTTTGAGAACCCAGCGCTCAGTGGCCAAGGGCAACAACGCCTAAACGCCTCGCCATTTTTGGGCAGTTCATAGAGGACACCTTCTCCAAAAAGAAGCAACACCGTGGCTGGGATATTCTGGGATTCCCAAGTGTCACAGAGAAGTCTTGCACCTTCCCCCCCTTCCCATCGATCGGAAAGAACAGACCCCGCCTGCTCGACTCCTAAGCTTGCGCTCAAATGCATTCAAATGGCTCGCGTCAAAGGCTAGAACTCACTTGTCTATATAAAGAAAGACCCACTCAAAGCCCCCCGCCTGGATTTAAAGGGAAACCCAAAAAGAGCCATTTGTGTGTGCATGTGCTTCTTAGGGTATCCTTTTCAGGAATCTTAAAGGACAACCAAAAGGAAACCAGCCTTCTTTGGGTATATTCATTCTGACAATCCCCAGACGACTTCGGACTGTGGAGGACCCTCCGAACCCGAAAAATGGTTCATCCATGTTGGAACGGGTTCCATTTCCGGTTTGCCGAACCCATAGGGGTGGCGCGTCTTTCTTTTAAGGACTTGGTCCCTCCAAAAATGGCTTCCTGTTTGCGCTTGGTTTCCTGTTAACACACAAAGATGGGGGTGACCTCACAAAAGACACTGCCAAAGGGGAAACGGGTTCCAAAGTGAGTGGTGTCCTTAGTAAGGCTGGGTTTCCTTAAGCCCAGCAACCTCCCCCTGCTTGGTGGTTTGGAGCACGGTGGTTCGGTGTTCCAGGGTGGTTTTCCATTTACCCTCTACCAGGGTTTCAACTCCAAATCCAGACCGCCAATGATATAAGGACGATCTGAGATGTTCCCAAAATTGGAACCACCCCTGGCTGGTATAATCCTCCCGGATTCCGAAGTTAACTTTTCGAGAAAATCCCTTCAGAAGCGCTTGGTGCAAAGTCCTGGCAGAAGTCCATTGGCAATGGAGAAAAAACCAGCACGCCCTTTCTTGGCTGGTTGATTCCGAAGGGATCCCCCCCGAAACAAACAAGAAACACATGAAGTGGATGCTTCTCACAAATTGACCGCCTTTCGGATGGTCTTAAGGGCGTTGAGGGTACACCCAAACAGAGCCACCTCGCCGTCAAAAGCCCGAAGCTCGCCAAGGGCCGGACCCAAGCCCACCGACAGCTTCTGCACCGCGTTGATGATGTAGCGAGATGGGTTGTTCACCCCTTGCCGCTTCCGGCCTCACGGAACTCCCCCCAAAAGCCCTGACATGGGCAGGGGTCAAAGTCGGAAAACAGGGGCTGTCAAGAATATATCTGGAGTTGGACCCCCCGAAAAGGCGGCCTTTCCTTTTGGTATCCCGTTGAAGCCTCACAAAACACGACCTCACATGGCCCGCAAGCGCGAGATGAAGCCAGCCATGCCGAGTGCATGTACTTTCATCTCCCTTGGACAGGCATGTAGGTTTGGGGATGTCGAGCATGGCATTACTCAGAGCGTCCTACACCCGACCAACCACACACCCGCACATACCTTCTGACAGGGAATCCCTACAAAACAGAGACTCCCCCTATTAAAAACACAAAAAAAAAAAAAAAACATGAAAAAAACAAAAACACACAAACGGACTGAGGGTTTCCATGAATCAGGGGTCGACGATAGACATCACGCTTTCCGGCCTCCCCCAATTTGCTACCCTAAAAAATCACAGCCTTGTGGCCGATGGGCTTGTCTTTTCGGGGATACCCAATGGTGGTTTTCCTGTTGGCCCCAAACAAAGGGGGACCCTCAAAAAATAACATGCAAATATGTGGCCGTGCCTTGTTTGCCTTTCTTGTCCTTGCCAAAGGATGCCTGAACCAAACTGGCGGAAGCCTCTGCTCGGAGAGTTTCTTTGGCTTGCTTGGAGGCTGGACTGGAGAAAAAAGCTGGACCGGAGTGCTGAAAGTTGCCAAAGCCCAACAAATCCGCATTTCGGAGCCTGCCTCCCAGGATGACTTCCTCAATGAGGTCTTTGGCACGATAAAAGGGCAGGCGTGCGAGTCCCTTGAGGCCTCAGCTGGCCCAGCTCTCAGTTCAGGCAATCTTTGTGTTTGTGGTTGAGGGTTCCATGGTCTCAGTTGTGGGTGGGTGGGTGGGTGGGTGGGTGGGTGGGTGGGGTGGGTGGGTGGGGTGGGTGGGTGGGGTGGGTGGGTGGGGTGGGTGGGTGGGGGTGTCTCTGTGATGTGTGTGTCTGGGTGGATGTGTGGTTTTTGAGGGGGCCCTTTGACAGGTTGGTTTCAAGCACCAGTTTTGAGTCCCGGTCCCACGACTTTGACTCGCACGCTGACTTGATCGTCCGTGCAGCCCAGTTACAGTTTAAAAAAATGGGCCATGCGAGATGACAACCCTCCCAATTGATGTTCCTGGAGTTTCCATGATCCTTTCACAAAGGGGCCATGGAGGCTCCAGGTACTGCTTTTTGAGGGAACATATCCTCTGCATAGTGGCGTATCTTGGACATTGTTCGCTGGACCTAGGTCCTAGGACTTCATTCCTTTCCTGCATCATTTGAGTCAAAGGGACATATGTGAGATGTTACCAAACGTTGACCACTTGGCCCAGATACGGGTATGTCTCAAAATAGGAGACCCAAAACATGGCCTTTGGCTTTTGTTCTGGTTTCCCCTCAACACGGATCCAAAGCAAGGTAACAACTCAAAAAACACACACGCCCAACAACAACATGGGTACACAAAAAGTATATAAGCCATATTTGGCGGTGGGAAAGATGGGGCGCCGGGCTCTCCTCGTTGAGCTGCAGCTTGCGCTTCCATGCCTTGCACACACTTGGTTCGTTCCCTTGAAGTTTGGAGACTAATCCGCATGGGATGGTTTATCAGGTGTTACTTGAAAGAACCAACAAGGTGAACAACAAGGTTGTAAGGTTGATCAGGTTTTGCAGGTCCATGTTACGTCGTTGTTGTACGGCTGTGCAACTTTGGGGGCAACAAATCGTTGTCCGTTGATCCCAAAGGGCCAAACCTGGCACATTGAACTTCCTACGGGCCGGGGGCTGGATGGTGTGAATTAATCAAAACTCAAAGACTCGCCTTTTTGGAACCTGATGCCACGGGATTTAATCCCTTTAAAGTCATAGAACCAAGCGAACAAATGAGAGGGAATTGTCACTAGGCAAGCACCAGTTGGGATGAGACCCTAGTTGATATTGCCGCAATTTGTCCCACTCATTGCGGCCCTGTCTCAAAAAACACTTCACAGTCCACTGCGCAGTCTGAGGCATGCACGTAATTCCTCACCTGGCGCCAACGCATCCAAGGGTGTATTGGGGGCCTAGGACGCAATCAGTCACTGGTGAAGCAACTTGGAATCCTACAAAACGGCTGGCAAGTGACTCGCAACCAAAGTACTGTAAGGGTCTTGATGGACTTTGGGCCCTCCTTATAGACGATTTCAACCCAAAAAGCAGGTCGGGCTGTAGTATGGCAAATCTTTGGAGCTCCATAACACACCCCAGGCCCGTCAGGGCAGTTTGAACATCCTCTTCGCTGGCCAAGAGTCGCTAAATCGCCTGCCTGACTCATCTTCTCCTCACGGCATCGCCGAGTTCGGACACTTTCTGTGGTCTGACTGAGCCACTAGAAAGTCAAAGTTCAACCTTCTTGTCCAGCCTGTTTTAGATACTGTAGTTTCTGTCAAACCCAATTGAAAATAGCTTGTAATTTGCCGTGCTGTGCTCGGGTTCCGATGCCTGCCACGTAGGGCGGTTCCCTCTGGCATCACAGTGGCAACCTAAATCCAAACGTGAAAAGCAAACTCGAGCTGCCGCAATCCATCTTTCCTCAGCAACTTGCGGAATTTTTAAGGGTTAGGTACAAGGGAGGGTATATAGTTGAGATCCCAGTTCCTTCAGTTTCCCTCGGTTTCCTTGGATGCCTTAGGAGCTTTTGGGGAACCCCCTGGGCTCTTTGGGGACTCCATTGATACCATGAGCAAGTGTTCAAAGTGTCTCACCTTGTCAAACTGAACCGCCTCGAGTTGCCTTTTGGTGCCGAGCAAATGCAACGTGTTCCAGTCATCATACGTTCCTCTGAACCAAGGCAGAACAAGAAAACACTGTCCTTGCCTGCCTCAACTGTTGCCCCCAACCAAACAATAAGATGTTGGGTTCTGGTCCATAGATACTCAAACCTTACCATGTAAAAACAAAAAGCAGGAACAACTAAAAAAAACATAAAAAAGACGGCCTTATCTGGGCATCACCAAGTGAAAAGGCATTTAGCTCAAACCGAACTGTTTATATGCCTTGTTGTCCATTTGGAAAAAATATAACAATGTATGCATGTATGCTTGTCTATACATATATATGGCTACATGCTGAGACACTAAAACCGTGCCTTCCGTTTTGGTTTTCCTCAGTACCCTCACAACAAGTATAAACACATATATGACACTAAACGATGGAAACCACCTGGACCCCAATCCCCGTGCATTGCCTTACTGCTTTGTGTGTCATTTGGGTCCTGGTCCGGGAAAACTGAGCACAGAATCCATTTGTGTTCAACCTATGACATCTGTGCTCTCATGTGGGTGGTCATGGGACTTACAAATGTGGTCTGAAATCCTTAAGAGGTTCACCATGTCATGCAATTCCACCATAAGCCGAAGTGGAAGGATGCTTTGACCCTGGCAAGCATGACATAGCCACGTATTGAGTCCAGAAATTTGGCTCCGGGATGACTTGAAAAGTTGGAAGCCCCGCTGAAAAGTAAAAGGGCACCACCCCGAAAGTGCCGCAATCCCGAGACAAGCTTTGCACCTTCCCCTCCGTTTTCCATGGATCGGTGTTCAAACAAAGCTCTGGTAGTCCAACCAACCAAACCCTGAACCCCCCTTCTTGGGTTCCATGTTAATATGTACGGGAGTAATTTTCTGAGACCCCTGAGGCCCTAAACCGCCGCTTCCTGTGGCGTGATGGGCAGGCGCGAGCTGGCTCCGGAAACGGGTGCCTCGAGCGAGTTCTAAGCCGTGCGGAAGAAATGGGGGGGGGGGGGGGGGATTCTCAAAATAGGCTTCCTCAAAAAATGGGGGTCGATCAAAAGGTGCGGATGACATGGGATGACCATTGGGTTGGGAAAATCCGAAACACATGATAAGCCATGTTCCACCGGAAACGTGACGTGGGCTGTCTCAAAACAGGTGCCCCTAAACATGGGTTATTCCCTTTGTTTCCCTTCAAATATGGACCGAAAGCGGGTTCACCAATTTGAGAAGCTCCGAATATAGGACTGAATGAGGCACCACTGCATTGGCATTGTTTTTGTTCGTTGGCTGACTAATTACATACATATTGCTCGGATTTTCTGGAACTGAAGTTTGTTATTGGAAGTACCCCATAACCCCATTTCAATTGTGGCCCTACGGTAAGACGCCCCGTGCAAACGCCTTTTAGTGAACCTGCGTGTCAAACTGGACAAATTAACAAAGGACCTTTTTCGTGGGTGGGTGAGCTCGTTTTGCCTCGAGGTGGGGTCGTTACCTTTTGTCCAGACATATAGCGAGAAAAAATCAAGGCCCCCCCAATCGATCAGAACGCCCCAGGGGCTTGGGGTTTAGCGGGTAGGGTTTCGCAGGGCTGGTGGATTTGTATCTGTTAGGCCGGTTGTTGGGCCCAACGATTAGCCCCAAAGAAACAAAAGGGCTTTGCCCTTTGCCGGCCCGGCTGAGCGACCGGCTGGCTTTTGCACAGAACTCTCCGGCTCTTGCTTCACGCCTGGTCGAGGCAAAATAGGGGGGATATGTTTCTTTTGTTTGGCTTCCTTTTAACCCAAGGTGAACAGGGCACCCTCCAAAAACAAACATGTCCAAACCAGTTTTTCAAACTTGAAACTCCTTTCAGGAACTGCTCTCCTAACAAAATCCAATAAAGAAGGGGTACCCTCCAAAAGAGACAAGTCCAAATCTGCTATTCCTGCTCGCGCCTTCGTAGCTCCTCTGCGCAGTTGCCCGGGCTGGCCTCGGATAGCCAGGACATCTAGGCAAAGCTTTGGGGTCATTCCCGGCAAACGTCCCCCAAAAGGAGATTCCACAAAAAAGGGTCATCTTGCAATTGGTGCCTTCACGCTCTAAATTCTACGAACCCCAACGTGCTTTTGGAGCATGGCATTGCTATGTGCGCAAGATGTTGCTTGTTTCGGTACCCGGCCACACAAATTCAAGGGAAGCCAAAACGAGAACCAGCCGGTTTTGGGCAGTCCCCTCAGTTGGAGACACACCACAATATGGGTACCAACAGGATCACGGTGCCAAATGAGAGGTCTGGGCAAAATGACACATGGTTGCGTCTTTTGTTGGGGAACCCCAGTTTGGTGGTTGTAAAGGGAAACCAAAAGAATTACCACCAGTTTTGGGGGGCTTTCTGATTTTGAGACAAACCCACATGTTCCATTCCTCTCGATTTCCCTACGTCCGACTTTTTCACATTTTGGGAAGCAAACTACGCCCTCTGAGCGTGGCACACCAATTGCCTGTAGCCCGTCAGGCCGCCCACCACCTCAGCTCTCCGTCGGATTGGCTGCTTTTCGATTTCCTTGTGAGGCCAGCCCAGGCCTCGAATTGAAGTTTAAAGGGCAAAACTGAACGCTTAACTGGCTTTCGTGCAAAGGGGTGATCGTGATTGACCCAGCTAATCCGGTGGGCCCTTTTTCTTGGAAGCATATCTACTTGTATATGTTTCCGCGTAATCATCATAGAACCACATCTTTCTGCATAGAGACACTATCTACACCACGGCGACGCCCTGTTCAACGTCCGCAACCCTCTCGCGCGCTCCGCTCCACGCGTGCCCGCTGGGCGCGCGGCGCGCGGGGCGGCCCTGGGCGCTGCCCAAGTTGGGATTAGTGGTTTCTCCCAGAGCTTCATTCATTCATCTCAAGTAGGAATGGATGAAACCCCGGGATAAATGTCCAATTGCGGCAGGGGCCCAGCAAAAATATTGACTTCACTGCTGGGTTTCGGAGGGTTTGGCACCAAGCCGCAGAAAAACAGAAAGCAAGGGGAGTGGATTGATCCCCTGCTAAAATCTAGCTAAAAGCCTAAGGAACCGGATGGGCACCACCAAGAGACGTGGTTTGCCCGAATCTCCAGTGGCCTTAAGGGGACACCCTTCTTGGCAGGCAACTCTCTCTCTCTCTCTTCGGGAGAACGAGCATTCAACTTCTCAAAAGCCAGGCCAAGCCCTGCTTGAATATAGAGACAACCCATTGAAACGGTGTAGCCGCTTTTTACCTAGGGGTGGTTGTACCAAATTGACATACACAACATGCAGCTACCGTCTAAACCACATCTTTCTGTCCCCTAGCGCTTGGATGTAACGATTTCTGCAACCAAGCCATGGGGTACCTCAGATGCCCAGTGACCATGGGCAAAAAGGGCACCCTTTTGTGGTTGGTTGACTTTAATGTTGACCTAGTACCCCCCTATTAGACTTATTAGACCGGTCTCAAAAAGAGGCTCCAGAAATATTAAATCAAATGGAGGCAGGCCAAGCACCTTCCAAAATCTTGCCCCCCCAAAACCTTCTGACCTTTAAGGGGGGGGGGGAAGGTGGTTTTCCCACGCGGTCAACATGAAAGGGGAACCCTTCCCCCAAAAAAAGAAGAAAGGCACCACTGAGCAAGTGGGGTACCCCGCACCAGTTCTGAGGGCTGTGCCTGGCTTCCTTCTTCCGCGGCAAAGGCAGCGCCTGCAGCCCCAACTCCGCCGCGCCTCATTCCGCCCGAGTCCCGCGAGTGGACCCCGGGTCCCCGCGGTTTTCTGGCTCATAGGGTTGGTGTATAGGGCGTGGTTCTCAAAATAGGGTGCCTGCAGTAAATCGGATGTGTTCGCCTTGCGGCTTCCACCTCAAACCAGCCAAAAACGAGTTGGGCTCCAAGTGGAAGAGCCACTAGGGAAACCAACCATTGTAAAAGAAAACTTTGATAAACGCCTATAGGTTTTGTGACTATTCTCCCCAAACACGTCGAGGTTCTGACTTTTTGACCTCTGCTCGCTCTGCTCGCAAGTGGCCGAGGCCCCTTGCTGGTTCGAGGCTTTTTGACAGGCTCATCGGCAGCCGCCCAATCGAACCAATCCTGGCGTGAAGCTTCGAGACGATTCACTGAGCAAAATCTAGGTTAATCAAGGCAACCACTTGAAAAAGGGGGGGCCAAATAGCTTTGGATGGGGTTGCGGGATGAGATTCCTCCAAGTCACCTCATGACCATGGAAGAAGCGTGTGCATGTGTGTGTAAGTATTGCGGCCCCAATACTAATCGCTGAAGAGGGTTCAACACTTGAAGGGCCCGTTGCTTTGGCGAAAAAAGAAAGAAAGAAGAGCGCCTCTCCCAGCATTCAAACAGATGGCACATCAGACCGGACCCAAAGGAAACCTGAAGTGTTTGCAGACATGTAAAAAAGGGCCTCAATTCGTTGGGGGGCACTCTTAAGCTAAATTGCCTTATGGGGGAATGGTGTGTGTATCTTTGTTCAGCCCTTATATTGAGGGTTTTTCGTATGGACTGCACTAGCAGGGAAGTTGCCCCTTGCTGATATTTCCGGTGGGTGACCCTAAGGCTGAGTTGCTCCCTTCAGGCTGGAGGAATCCCGCTTTTGGATACTTGGGCGGCATTGACCACGAGCTGGGTTCAAACGCAACTTGGGGTACTTGGCCCCCGATGAATCGACCCATATCAATAAACGTGTATGTCTCTTCCCCTGAAAGTAAAAGGACCGCCGCTTGAATGGGACACCCCCCTATAAATCAACGATGGAATTAAACAGAATCTTGGGCTTCCATCAGGGGCTTTGTCTTTAGCGCCGAAAGGGGAAGCGATCGGCAACCGACCTGGTCCAGCGCATCCATTTCCTCGGCCTCGGCACTCACTTCAGTCAAAACATACCCGAGTTGCTCTCGTAATGCGCATGGAAATCCCTGGGCAAACTATATCCCCAAGCCGAAATCAGGGGAGCCTCTCAATAAAGGACCTTCAACATAAGCTCTTCGAAAAACCCCGAATCGGTGGAGTCGCTCGTTAGAACTTGCCCGCAAGATGTGTTTTTGCAACCCCTTTTAGTCCTCCATGTCCTGAACCCGAAATTCACCAAGGATTTCAATGATCAGAAACAGGGCTCCAATCTTTCCCTTTTAAATATCACCCCGAGGAAACTGGTCAAAAAGTGACCCCAAGAGTGATGTTTGAACCATTAAACCAAAAAACCGGGGGATAGACTTGCAACCGCACATTTCGCCTGCAACCCTTCCATTTCCGTCTTCGACGCCCAAAATGAATGGGACATTGGTATGAGTTTTGATTAGGAACCCCTTCGTGGACATCATTTAACGAAAGCTGATGTCCGCGTCTCACTCTTGACGGGCGTCCCTCTATGAGGGCCGCGAACGAAAGCTTTTGTCGCTGAAACCTGAGGAAGGAGTCCAAGGCATTGGCCAAGCCATGAAGCAGAAAACAATACTTGAAGAACTTGCTGGTGCACAGCAGGGAGTCGCTATTTCACCTGGGGCTCTCGTCTGTCCTGTTGAACGAAATGGACATGGACATGGTCGTGGCCGGTACGTATCATGTTTGTGCCTCAGCAACGGACATGGAAGTTTCGTATTCCAAAGAAATCGGCAATGCGGAAGCCTCACTCGAGACAGGCTGACGACCTTTCAAGTGGCTCATGATCTCCTTAGCTTGGCTCAAATCTGGGGTAGCAATCTGCAAATTATGTGTCATATTTAGTCTACCCCGATGTATAAAAACTACCTTGGGAGCCCCAAAATGCGAACCTCAAAAAATCTGACCATGGGGTCGAGCCATGTTGGCTTGTCTCCTGGAAACACCACCATAGTTGCTCTTCAGTTGCCCGGAAGAGGGAAAGCCTCCAACATAGATGCACACCCATTCAGTACAACACCTCTTCCGCCCATCTCCAGCCAGCATTCCCTCTGAATCAGACACCCCTCTCCCAATCATTCAACAACTAGGGGCCGTGCAATAATCCTCTGGCCATCTGTCAGCTCTGCTTAGGTCCCGCAATGTCGTGCTTGGCGCTTGGCATTCGAGCCAAAAAAAACGACAACCACTTCTAAGTGCCGTCGAGACACCGAAAACAAGGGGGCCCAAACTCCACTTTCCCTTTCCGCTGGGCTTCTTTTCGGTAGCTGAGCTCCACACCTTCTCGCTGTAGTCCTGGCCAATCCACTGAGTCATCAACACTTGGCATTCATTTTGGTTCACATGTCAACACAGAACACCATATTATTCAGATTCTGCTTTATATTTCGTCCGCCTAGAATATGAAATCGCTTTGGTGGAGACCCCAGTAAAGGGTGTACCCAAAACCCGTGGAAAAGAATCAAAAGGCCGGCAAGGCCCCTACAGTGGTTAAACCACGCAAACAAAGCAAACACTAACATATCATGTACTTATATACAATATATATATATATATATGGAAAACCAAAACACAAAGCACCCAATACATCCCCTTTACTCACCCAGCAAAAAGGAATCGCGCCATCTACTTTCACTCAAGCCTTGGCCCGATTGAATCTACCCTACAAAACACATGATTTGTGGTGGAGACCCCAGTGCAGTGAACTCTGGCAGCTTGGCAACGCTTTGTGGTTAGGTCAGGCTCCGCAAACCCTCCTCCAAGGCGCCTCTGTGACGACCTCCTCCTGGCGCAGTTGGAACTCAAGGGGTGTCTCAAATTAGGCGCCACTCCTGCAATTAGCATCCTCTCCAACAAACACCTTCTTGGAGCCGCATTTTCAAACACGAAGCCGAATTTGTTCCAGAAGCCTCCAGCATACGTTGAAGACCTAGCGCAATATTCCCCGGGTTGGGGTATGCTCCTAAGGTAGATCACCTTTTCCCTGGTTATAGGCGAGGTACCCCCCTTAAATAGGGACTTGGACCACTTTTGGAAGGAACACCTCCCCCGAATAGCACTGGTTCTACGTCTAACCTGGGGTCAACAGTATGGAAGCCAGCAGCCTTCGTTTGGCCGGAAGGCGAGGCAAAAACCCATGCCCTGTTGGGCAACCTTTCGTGGGGTAGTTGCAGGGGAGACACACACACACACACACGTTGGGTTGTAGTTGGAACAAAATACCCATATTGAACCGGGCCGCCCGGACGGGGCGGTTTATCGTCTGTGTTTTCCCACTGTCACAGCCTTTCAGTATCACAGTGGGAATGCAACTCCCAGATCCCTGCAAAAAACGGCTTCTTTCTATAAGACTGGTGGCGTGGATTTGATAGGAGGCTAGGGGGTTCAAACATGCAAAAGACAGGGATTCAAATCCCCGAACCTATCCAAACCACCAACCAGGGAGCCAAAGGCGGAAAACAAAAAGGTCAAAAGGTCGATTCTCTGGTTGTGGAGGAAGTGGGAATCCCTGGTCATGGATCTCCCCCAGCTTTTCTAGACGGCACCCTTTTCAGGTGTGAGCCATGTGAATGTGGCTTTTGAGGGGTATTCATGTTTGGGGTTGGTGTACAGGGAAGCCACAAACAACAACTTGGCGAGTGTGCGCCCCCATGACACTCCCTAATATTACCGAGAATTAGCGCAAAATTTGACCGTTGCTGGGAGAAGACAATGTGACCCGCGGTGCAGCAAATGAACCGGACGAACGCCTGCCTCGGCCCACCACTCATCGACGGCTTCCTGCTCAATGTGCCATGGGGGAATTGGCGGCGAGCGTGTGCAACCACGTCGTGGTCAAAACTGGGAGGGTCACACTGTCCCCTGCAAACAGCGGTGAACTTGCCAAAAGAGGAAGAAACAGTTTCAAATTCAAACGGGCAAATTGACAATGACAAGTCTCCACCTCCAGTCCCCATCAGTCCCCAGCTGTATGTCCGGATAAGAGCTGATACTCATCAGTTGTCAAGGGCGTCCCCACGCAGGCGTCATCTTGACCCACCGCCACACCCAACACGGCGCGCAACTCTCCTCTCCATCACCAACATTAGCGAAATCTTTCGATGCCATGCCGGACTGGCAAACTGTCCCACAAGGGGTGGAAGTGGGGGCAGTGGCGTGGCAGCCATGGAGGCTGAAGCAGCCTTTGGGGGCGATGAATCAGCAGCTTTGCTCCGGAGAGGCCATGAATTTTTGGCACCCCTTTTTTGATGTATATACATTTTGGTTGGTGTTTAAAGGGAGACCACAAGGAAACCACAAATTGGCCTGCTGCCTAAGCCTACCCAACCGCACTCATTCAGCGTGGTCCTGGTGCTCGTGCTCCTGCTCAGGCTCCGGCAACTCCTGAAAACGGGAGAGCTGGCCAATGTTCACCAGAGTGTGCCTTTTTGTAGGATTTAATCCTAGAAATTTCTGGTTGTCCCCTTAAACTCACCAAGCGAAGGTACCCTCAAAAACGACACACCCACCAGGTGTCCCCAACTGACACTGGGATTTGAGCAACCCTATTAGTGGCTTTCCGTTGGCGTCCCTTTTCAAAAAAAATAGCAGATGTTTGTTTCGGTTTCCCTTGGATTTTTTTGAAAGACCGACATAGGTAGGGTGTTCGTTGGTTTCCTTTTGAAATGCAAGCCGGACTCAACATGACGAATTCACTGGGATGCAATTGACCCATTCCGAATCTGGGGTCCGACCCTTGCTATGGCAACTAGCTAAATCAAGCATCTTATTTGTCAAGGGCCCCCAATAATCCCCCCCCCCCCCCCCCCAAATCCCAATGAGAGCTAATAGCGACTACAAAGCCCCAAAATGGGGCTAATGGGTCGGCGCTAAAGATCTGTGGTTGTCAGCTTCATGAACCCCATTTTAGACACATCCACCAACTTGTGTCCGAGAGCCTCTATTGAGGCCCTAAACAGGTTGTATCAGACTTGCGCCTCCGGACAATCACCTATAGCATCCATTGAAATTGGAACGGGTCACCCAAGAAAAATATCCTGAGTACCTGCAGACTAACATTTGGATCCCATTCCTTATAGAACGTCTCCTTGTCAACCATTCTATGCCAAAACCACGATTCTTTTCCACCGCACGCGTGGCGTTTGCTTGGGCGCAGCGGGTCGCTCGCTTGGGACCACTTGCGCTAGGGCCAGGACACATTACAAGTCGTTTGTCCCAGACCCAGTGGGTTTGTCTGCAAAATAGGTGACCTAAATACATTTCGGGCTTCCTTTTGGCTTATCAAAACCAACCAAGCAGAGAGAGTGCCCTGGAGAAAGGACACCCTCCAGCGGTGCCATGTCTCCCTTCTTGTGGAGAGGTTCCCTTTTTCCCATGGCCACTGGAGGTCTGGGTTGTTTATTTCTCAAGATGACGAAGCACATCCTGCAGGATTGGTTTGCTTTGAACCTCGAAACCCATGCCAAAACAACAAGGTGGACCATTCGTGTTATCCTTGTGATAGGGTCTTGGGAGAAACCTCGGCTAGCAAGATGTCTATCGCTTTTTGCATCGAGTCAGTTTGACCAATCGGAGATGGACACCTCAGGATCACTGAACAGGGTGTCAAACCAAGAAGCTGACCCAAAGGGCAGTGCCTTGGGAATTATTGTGACATGTGGACATCGTTTACTGCAAAGGAGGCCACAATGTTTGGCAGACCTTTTCCGCATCCCATCCTGTTCCTCCTCTTCCTCTTTCTTGGCCTTCGAGAGGTTTGGCTCCAGCCAAACGTCCCATGGTCGAAAACTCACGCCCACATGTGCAAACCCGCGCCTCTTGCATGACCTACATGCCCCAGCAATTGCGTGAGGAGTTGGCTATATCCTTGCTTCATGAAACTTGTGAGGGTTTGCCCGCTATGGTCAAAACGTGGGTCATGGTCATGGTTCTCTTAGTAGGCACCCTAAACTCTGCAAAAGGTTTATGGCCACCCTTACCCCCGAGTAAAGGGTCTTTTGAGCGTGGCACAATTTGCCTCCGGGACCTCCAAGTTGGGACAAGCCCAAACGACCACCCCTTGATATTCCTGCGGGGCTGTGGCTTGCTCCAATGCCATGTCTGGAAAACCCAAGGGGCTTGATGGCCATCACTACGTGCAAAAAACACGTGGTGCTTTACCAGGCATGCCTAAAGGTTGGCTCCTTTACCGTTGTCTTGACTCAACCCTGTGTTCAGTTTGTGGTTGTGGACATCACCCTTTTTGTGTCTGATTCCTACGACTTGATCAGTTTAAAGGCGATTTCTCCGCAATTCACAGAAAGTGGCCCTAAAACCTGTGGATCGACAGAAGTCGGCACTGGATGAAAACTATGCGAATACTGGTTTATAAACAACCTACTAAGAGGAGCTTTCATCCACTGTTGGCTTTTGCAACCAGCAGTTTCCTTTCTTTAAAGGGTGCTTTTTCACGGTTGCCTACTGCACAGGGAAATGGAATTACTGGACAAGCATGGTTCGCCGAGGTCCTCAGACCAAAACTTTGATCAACCCTGCCTCAAAGATGCTGCCGGCACGGTTGGCCTGCTGAACCGCCTCACGGTCACGAAGGTTTCGTTCGTGTATTCGAGACATCTGAGCTATGGCAAAAATTTCCCGTTGCCCCCCAAAAATATCCGCCGACATTGCGGAGGCGTGTCGGATACCGAGGACAACCCAACCCCGAAATCCCCACCCTACCCCCCCGGGTTTGGGGTTTCCCCGCGGGTAATTTGATGACGTTTCACAAACGGGCAGCTGGTGTCGCAAAACAGGGGTCCCAGGCTCGAATCCCCCTGCCGGCTCTTTGCTGGTTTGAGCTGCCTCCTTTAGCCGAAAAACTGGAAACAACTCTGTGTAATTTGATGTCCTCTTTGCGAAAACGCTGGACAAATCGTTTTTTGCGGGAAATGCTGGGGAGCAAATGGGAAATGCAAGGAAGTGCAAGGAAATGAGGGGAAGAAATAGGAAGTCGACATGACAGGAAAGCAAGGGAAATGAAAGGGAAACAAAGGAAAACTGAAAGGGACATGAAAGGGACAGAAATGAAAACAAGGGAGTGCAGGGGAAATGAAAGGGAAACAAAGGACAAGGAAACCAATCGGCACGACGGGAGATGTAAGGAAATGACTCGCAACGAAAGAACGGGATGTGGAAAATGACAGGGACATGAAGGGGGAGTTGAAAGGAATGGAAGGGACATGACAGGACATCATGGGACACGTGAAAAGGACAGGAGGGGGAAATCAAGGGGAAAGCCAGTAGTAAGCAGACAGTTCATGGTCATGCAGGGCAGTGCCCGGACATCGAGGCAACTCAGGGGGGACGTGACGCTGCAATGCGAGAGACACAGAGAGAGAGAGCGGGAGAGAGACAGAGGGGGAGAGAGAGAGAGAGAGAGAGACACAGAGAGCGAGAAAGAGAGAGAGAGAGAGAGAGAGAGAGAGGACACAGAGAGAGACAGAGAGGGGGAGAGAGAGAGAGAGAGAGAGACAGAGCGAGAGAGAGAGAAAGGGACAGAGACAGAGACAGAGCCAGAGTCAGAGAAAGAGACACAGGGAGAGACAGAGAGGGAGAGAGAGAGAGAGAGAGAGCGAGAGCGAGAGCGAGAGACAGAGAGAAAGAGCGAGAGGGAGACTAGGCCCTCCAGTAGAGAGGTTAGAGCAAGGGTACCCTTTTTTCTGTAGAGGGGCGTGGACGGTAAGGAGACAGGGAGATAGAAAGAGACACAGAAACAGAGAGAGAGAGAGAGAGCGAGAGAGAGAGAGAGAGAGAGCGAGAGAGAGAGAGAGAGAGAGCGCGAGAGAGAGAGAGAGAGAAACAGAGAGAGAGAGAGAGAGACAAAGAGAGAGACAGAGAGAGACAGAGAGAGAGAGAGAGAGACAGAGAGAGAGAGAGAGATAGAGAGAGACAGAGAGAGGGAGATTGAGGAGAGAGAGAGGCTTGGGGGGAGGATGGGGAGCAAAGGGAGGGAGAAAGGAAGAAGGAGAAAAGGGAGAGGACAATGTCGGCGGACTGAGCCGGAGGCTCTAAAGTATGACAAAATTAGTGAGTTACCTGGCTTTGGTGCGAAATTTCGAGAGTCCTCATGGCATGTTTCCGCCACTCAACATAGAACTGGAAATTCTTACCGAACATCATTTTCACGATTTTTACATTTAACGGGAACCCGCAGAACACCAATCATAAGCTTTGTTCTTTACAGCTGAAAGCTTGGGGGTTGATAGGCCCGCTTGGGCTCTCTGGTTTTGAGTGGCTCCGGGCCTTTTTCGGATTGGTGTCAAGGGGGTTGTTGAGGCTATTACCTGGCGCTATATTTCCCGGTGTCTATGCTGGGCACCCTGCAAATCAAAATGGAACACAAAAGAGGGCGCGGCAAAAGTTAGATTTCTATCATGGCTACATTTCAGGTTCGTGCAAGCTCAATGCCACGCATGTTTATCGGTTATTCCCGATGGCCATTACCTTTGCGATTGGCTCTGTTTACTTTCTGTAGTTAAAACTGGTTGACAACACGGCTCTTTGTTTCCAGGGTCAGCAAGTTGCTGAGAGTAGGGTAGTGCCGTGACTGATGGTATATATATATATATAAGTAGCTAAACAAACTCTACATACATTCCGAAACCTGGCATAAGGGATCCCAACTAGAGGACCTTGGCGTTTCTTGCGACGCCGCCCCGCGTGGCTGCGAAGGCGGACCTGTCCATTTCAATGTGAAACTGCGTGGGAGGCGCATGCGCTATTGCCCGAGAATCAACACAACGCCAAGTACAAGGCGGGTGACAGCGTGCTTTGCCAAGCGCCAGGCTATGCAAAAGCCCAGAACGCAACAAGAGGCCCGAGGCCATCGAGTTGGATGCCAGGCGACCAACGGAGGGCACACGATTAAAAGACCCGTGGCAGTGTAGGCCCGGGGTGGTAGCCAGTGCTCAAGGACAAGTTCCGGCGAGGGCGCCGTGCTAAAGGCGAGAATCATCAACCACGATGTCAATGTCCATCTGAAACTCTCAATCACTGCCGTACTCTTCGAAGCAGATCATGGCCTCTTTGAGGACTTGTGTTGTAAACATGTCCACGCTCAGACAGATTGCCAGGATTGACCTGAAAGGTGGCACTGCAAGATACCTCATGCAGATGTTCGGGGTCACTTCGTCTAGTTGAAGGAGACTAAGCTCACCACGTGTTATACCAGGTGATACAAGCGATGCAGCAAGCGCGATGAGAAAAAACCTCATGCAGCGCAAAGGCAAGGAATACAGTGTGGGCCGGCGGTCCTCTCCATCTTGTGCAAGCGAATCAAACACATCATGCGGAAGAGCATACTCCACTCAAGTGTCTCTGCCGGATGAGTGCCAACGCAGAAATCTTCGGCATGTGATGCACATTGGGTGGACGAAGTGACGCCATGTTTTTCTGGGCAAGGCCATGCGCTATCAAAGCCATTGACCCTCCAACTTGTGCATGGGAAAGTGAACGCCCTCCTAGTCAAGCTTTGCAAGCTGAAGTATAATGTTTGCGTGCCCAACATACGCTAAACTGAGTCCTTCGCCTCAGGCAGCCTCAGGTGGAGCTTGACGAGTGATAAGCGTGGCGCTGTCCGTGCAGGAGTAATGCCACACATATGTCATTGACAAGTGTATCCACAGCTTTGATCGGTCCGTTCATCTTGTTGAATAATCATGTGGCAAGTGCCCGCTATCCACCAGGGGGGGATTCCCCACGACTGATGGAAGGAGTCAAACAGACCTGCGACATCTTGAAGACGAGACTACCCTTCTTGCACTTCCAAGGTCCACCTGTGGCTGGTGGCAAGGAATTGTAGCAGCATGAAATGGGACCAATGGCATCACAGGACTCCAATTGGTTCCAAGCCAACTTTGTTTGATGGGCTCAGAGATCACTCAGAGATCAGCAAAGAGGTTCGGCGAATGTCAACTTTACACATGGCGATCTCAGCTGAGTGAGAGAGCATCCTCACCTGGTTGACTACATTGCGCCTGTGCAGGTTCAGGATGTCCTTCACCCGCAATGTGATGGCTCAGTTAGTAGGGGAGCCCATGTCAGGGCAACCACGTGACGGTCTCAGCCGAGACCCTCCCAAGTAGAGGACCTTCATCATGTCCAGCTCATTTCCCACCCCCTTTAAGCCAAAAGAGTCCCAACTGTTGTTTACTTTAAGATGGTCTTCCCACAATGTTTAAACTCCCAAAGCCCGGACACTGGGGAAGTTAAATTTCTCCCCGCAGCATTACACCGCGAAAGTGCAATGTGATCCTTGAGAAATGGAAGGACTGCGACTTCCTACTTAACCACGTGGCAAGTAGGTGAGGCAAGTACTGAAAAGGGCGAACCAACAAACACAAGCAATGCGAGAAGCTTTGACTGCTGCGCAGTTGTTATCTGTTTGCACTTGTTGAGCTTCACTTCACCACAAAGAAAGAATAGAGCAATCCAAGCCGGTGATGTTGGTTCCTCCACCCATTGCCACAATTCCTGGCCTCGGCTATAAAGCCTTACATTTGGGTCCGCTTCCAAATCTGAGACCCTCCAAATTGAAATGGCTTGTTTCCTTCAGTTTCCCTGAAACAAATGCCCCAAAACGGGTGTCCTCAACAAACAAAAGCACCCATGTACAAGTAGCCGTATGTTGTTTTGCGGGCACCCATTGGAGGTTGCTTTGAAGTACAAACAAAAGGTCTTGGCCGGAGGGTCTCTATTTTGACACTGTCTAACTCACGCTGTTGGGCCTAAACAGTCCCTAGTGGCGGGTTGCCAAAGGGATGGTGGAACCAGCTCGTCCCATAGCTCGCCTGCAAAGGAGTCACGGGCTTCTCCTGTTGAACTTTTGCCTTTTTCGAAGCCTCAGAGCCGAACGTTTCACTCGGAGAGTGATTTGCCGCGCCGAAACAAAACACGGCCGAGCTGTTGTTGTTCCGTTGAGGCAAGCACCCAATGCACCTGGCTTTGGCTCTTTGAGTGCTGCTCGGTTTGGCATGGTGTTGTTTTCTGTGGGTCTTGTTTCGCATTGCAGTTCTTGCAGCTTTCAGTCTATCGAACACATGGTTTTGACTTTCCCTGACAGCACTCTTCCTTGTTCATTATAAGCGTTAATTTTATACTACACATGGGATCTTTTTGTGAGAAAGCAGAGGACAATACTCATTTAGCGCCTCGGATCATCCTGTCCAGGTGCACCAAACTCGCGATCATACTGGGAACAACTCAAACATAGTATGAATCTAAGATCGGGACTCCTTGATGCACAGTTACATGCGGCTCTTCGCAGCCAACCAATGTTCTGGGGTGTCAGTCCCATGACTTCTTGCTCTCTGACGGGGATACCCTTGGTATTACCGAAAATGGGATGCCGAAAAAGTGCTCTGTGGCAGGGAAGATTTGATTTTTTGATCTTTGGGAGTCAAAGGCCCCCAGATACGTTCAAGGGGCTCTTAGGGCTGGTTGTGGTGGTTGAACCACCAGTTGGATGGTTTATAAGGTTTACTCCCTCATTCTCTACTGATCAGCAAGGGTCATGGAGACTCCAGGTACCTTGATATGAGTGACAATCTCCACCCAGAACCATGTGAAGAATTAAGAAGGCGGATATCCGCAACTATTTCTGGCTGGGACTGCCCCTTACTAACCTTCACCTACCCGGGTTTTGAGCACGTGGCTCAGTTGGGATGGATAAAACCCTCGGTGAAAGTGAAGTGATAAGCCTTTCATCATCCAAGAACCTGTAACCTAAGCATGTTGTCGGACGGGTGGGAACTGATTACTGATCATTGGTGGGATCGAAAGGATCATCAATCCCCGGGTTTTGAGCAAGTGGTTCATATGGCTGTGGGTCAAAATCAATGGGATCCCATTTTGGTTGGTAGGTGAATTCACCCATTTTAGAACCTATTTTAGTGGTTGGATTGGGATGTTCCCTGGGGATAACCGATTTGGATTTTGACCCATGGCCATGTGGCTTGGTCTACAGGGGTCTTGCCTGGATCTGGGGTTGTGGGCCCCTTGTCTTGGTCCATGTTTCCACTTACCAGGGCAAGCCATGTTGGGTACTCACGCCCATTTCTGGCCCAGGTTTTGACTTACCAGGTTCTACTTACCAGGTTTTCACTTCCCATTGGTGTTTCCACTTACCAGGTCTTCTGACCCACATCCATTTGTGGCTAAAACTCTGCCCCTTAACCGAGTCATCAATCCGAGCACCTCCTGAGCGCCCCGCGAACGCCGAAGCGACCGCTGGACGCGAGCCTCGGGGTCGATCGGCTGATTGGCCGGGTGGATCGAGGGTTCGATCGGCCGGAGGGTGGTGCGTGTGCCTGCTTCTCAAAATGGGTCTTTTTTGGTTGATGGCAACATGTATTTTTCTCGCTCTTTTGGCGGTTTCAAAGAGAAACCTAAGAGACGACAGCATTATTTCTGAAGCTCCTTCTATGACATGCCCAAATGGAAAAGCCCCCTGTTGGTGGGTGATTCAAGAACCAGGAAGCCGCGGCCATTTAGGAAATGGACCCGACTTATTGGCCGGATATTTGTTTCGGGCTGGTACAGCCGAATAACTCGCCCAGGTTTGGGGATCCGATGGAGTCCGATGGAACCCCGTTTTTTCTGACATCTTGGTGAGCAGGAAGCCTCGGTTTTGTGGGGGTGGGTCAAAAATAGGTACCCACAATGGGTTGCCCTGGCAAACGGAAACAAGGACTAAAACCCGCGACCCCGGTGGCCATGTTTGTAGCTCTGTTTCCTGCGGGGTAGGGACTGGCTGGCGCGAGTTCGGGAAAGTAGCCCCGAAGGAAACAGGGCAACCAAGGTCTACAAGAGTTGAGCAAGATTTGGCTCCTTGAGCCCCATTTGCCCAACCCTTGTACAAACCCTTTGTGAGTCTTAGAGTCTTTGAGGGGTCTGCAGGGTCCTGCAAAAGCGGATCAGGGGGCACCGTGACCCCAACTGACAGCCAGGTCAGGTAGCAGTGTGCGGTAGTTGAGTCCTGGCATTTGAGAGAGGTTCCCCTCGTTCGAATTCCCGAAGACCAGGAATAGAACAGCGGAGGGCGGAAAAGAATACCCAATGGCGACGCAACCAAGATGCCACACAATCAATATTCCTCAGGCTGAGATCTTGTTGGAAGGTCCATGTCCATCCCCGGGCAGGACATCAGCTCTGAACCAAAACCCGGGAAGATGAAGGTTAGTAAGGGACAATCCCAACCAGAAATAGCTGCGGCCGCCTTCTTAATTCTTTGCAAATACTGGGTTTTGATTATGACTCATGTGAAGGCGAGGAAGAAGCCGTCTCAAGGTTGGCGGGTGCGTTGTTTTTACACATAGCCACGTCAAGTTGGCCCAATGATTCAGTCATTTCGAAGCCACCAAGTCACTGTGTCACCCGTCACTACGAGTGGCAGGGCAAAAAGGAACACCCCCTCCCCACAGTTTCTGATCTAGACGCCAGTCACAATCATGCCTTCGTCTCAGGATGAAGCCAGGGAGGTTCTTTCTGCGCAGACTCCCGCGTTTGTAACCGGCAACTGAGCATGAATTCGCCGGGTGAATCCGGGTGAGACAAGCTGCATTTCGCCCTCCCTTTCATCAAACCACATGTACATATACACCTGGACCACCCTGAAGGGCACAATTTTCAGCTCCTTCACGTTTTGGTCACTGGAGGTGTGGGCAGTTTGCACAGCCCGGTCAGTGTCCAGGACCCTGAAAGCCTGAGACGAGTCCGCTGCCAAAAACAAACCCTCGAAGCCACCGGGAAACACAGACACGCATATACGTCATGTATGTATGTATGTATGTATGTATGTATGTATGTATGTATGTATGTATGTATGTATGTATGTATGTATGTATGTATGTATGTATGTGTATATATATATATACACAGTGCGACTTGGACCTGTGCCCCAGAAAAGTGAAAACAGGAACATGTAGCTTGCTTTGGCATTCTCCTGGGCACTTCTCGTAGCAAACAAGCAGGGTCTCAATGTGTCAAAAGCAAGATATGATGTCCAGCACCCCCCAATGGCTAGCCAATTGCCGGCACATCGATTTTGGGCAAAACGATGTCACTTTTTGTCTAAGTGACTGCAAAAGCAATTTGCTATCAGATACAAGTGACCTTTCAGGGTCCTTTGGAATGGGGTTGCCGGGGAAAGGGGAGAGCAGCAAGTTTGAGGTTGGGAGGGGTTCTTGAGGAGCGTGTCACGGCGTGTCACGGCGTGTCGGGGGGTGGCCAATTGCCGGCACATGTACGTTGAACGGTCACTTTTTTGGGATATGAGCGTGTCACCAGCGTGTCGCCCCCCCTACCCCCCCACGCGTTGCATGTGCAATGATCATACATGCCAGCCCAACCCCTCAATTGGATCCCCCCTAGTATCCTGAAGTGACGTTTCAACAAAAGTGACTTTTCACTGCACTTTGATGATGGCAAAAAAACTATGTGACTACAAAACAATATTTAAGCAAGTGCTGGCCAATTGTCGGCACTTCACCCGGGACGCCAATTACCGGCCATCGGGGGGGCCTGGGTTAAGTTTACGGTTTAGCTTAACTTCAAGTGTAAAGTGTTTTCCTTCGGACCTGAGGTTACAGATTGAACACTTGTTTTGTGTTCAAATCCTGGCCAGCACCAAACAAGCTATGTGGCCCCTCTTGGATCTACTGTTGCTAGGATTTACATGGTTCTGTCTAGTTTTTTTGTTGAAGAGGCACAATCTGAAGGGATGGCTAGTGTGACTCATGAAGCAAGCTTGAACATGTAGAGGTTCAACCGCTTCACGAGACATCAACATCTACCACCCGATGGCTATCCGACCCGAGCTTTATGTGACAATTGCGATGACCTCGAGCTGAAGAATTGGAAAGACATGTTGCAAAAGGTGTGACAAAGGCAAAGACTACTCACCCAGACTGCCCAGAATTAAGTAAGCAAAATATGTTTGGGAATCTCGAATATTGAGTCCTCATTTCAAGGAAGAATACGCCATAACAACAAACCAACACCTAGTGCTGTCCCAAAACTCGAGGATGTGGAACTGCATGTATACATGTAAATTCACGGGAAACAACCTGAGTGCTACAATTTCAAGGGGCTGTAGAAATCAGCAAGTAATGTTGGACCCTGTTTGACAACTGGGGCCTCTTTGTGTGAAAGTATTTCTCCTAATTCAGGATCCTGGGGCTGTTTTGGGGCCCTCTATGGTGGACATCGCTTTCCATATGTTGGGTAGAGCAAACGCTCGACAAATGTGGGCCTTCTTTTCAAGTACGAAGCAATTTATCTATAGATAATTAGTTCCTTTCCTCCAAATCGATGGTTGCCGAGTTTCCCTGCAAAACAACACACTAAAACACCAATTGGCAGAATTGTTGAGATCCCATTGAAGCTGTCAAAGTGTACTTCAGCTACCACTCTTGTGATGAAAAGTTGCATGTTGGCGCTGAAGCTGCCAAAGTGTACTTTACCTACTACATGCGTTGAAATGCAACCTTCGAGCTGTTTAAATAGACACTGCTTCTCAAACTTGGGGTGACAATTCTTTTGATTAGAATTCTGCAGGAAGTTGAACAAGGGCGTAACTAAGGTATTCTAGGACCGAGCTGGAATTTAACTTCAGCACCTGTTCAAAGACCGTCGTCCACTCCCGTTAGGGACTCATTTCAAAAGAAAAGTGACCTGAAGCAACCAGTTGGAGGAGTCGCTCCTGACACATAGCCGTACAGGAATACATCGGCTTGTCCCCAAAGAACCCTAAAACGGGTGGCTTCCTCTTGCACTCCTTTCACAGACGCCGTGCCTGTTTGGGGTTGTCAAAACAAAGAAAATAGACACCCCCGCAAAAAGGCGGTCCTCCTTTTGGTGTCCCGTAAAGCAACCCGACCAAAGTACCTGGAGTCTCCTTCTGCCCCTTCACAAATGGAAGTTCCCGATGGGCCAAGGAGAAGCCCAAACTTCCATTGGAAGAAAAACATGGAGAAACCCGAAGGGAGCCCCTACTTCCTTCTGTTTTTTGGGGCCTTGGCCAAGCCACGGCGGTTACCCTTGTAGCTGGTGGGTGGTTCCTCGTCGTCGCTGGAGAAGGCGGAGTAGCCGCTCCTCCTCTGCTTGATGATCCATATGGTGCCTTGGCAATTGAAGGCTCACAGCTCAAGGCTCCCCTTGTCACTCACTTCCGAACGAGTACCCTCCCACCAACAAACATGGAAGTGGACAGATAGATTGGGCAAATAAAGCTTCCGAACTTGTTGTTTGCCAATAAAATGGTCTTACACAAAGTTCAACGTGCAGGAACTAAGGAATTGATATCAGCTGTCGCCCCAACTAAAAGCATCTGGCTATGAGTCTTAATAGGTTATCCCCTGAAAGGTACGTAGTTGGTGGACTTCTGAATCTCCACTTAAATGATGTCCACCAAAAGCCCCAACTACAAATAATGCTCATAGTCATAGTGTCAAGAAACGGTTGTGATTGCCACCTGCTGACCTGGTGCTCCTTTGCTCTGATACCAAAGTGGGACTGGACTCTCCCCAAAAAGGCAATGATCACTTAAGGGCTTCCCAGGGCACGGAAAGCTCACCTGAAGTGGTAGATCACACATCTATCAACCCTCTTTTGGGCTTCCTGGGAAACTAAAACCTGCGTTGTTGCCATGTGTTTGCCGTTTAGCGGCACTTTTCTCCAAACAGAATCCACCAAGCTAAGTTTGGTTGGACTTTTAGGGCGGGAATCTGAGCCGGAGAGTGCGGACGCTGGGTGAAACGGGGGGTCTGTGTCTTTTGTTTGAGTTTGGAATGACTTTGGAAGGAACATCAGCAACTTCTTTGGCAGGCTCAGACTAGTAGACCCCCCCCAACGAGTTAAAGCTTGTTGCTGGTTGAAAGAGGCCATTGTGGAAAAAAAGATGAAACAATAACGAGGCAAGCTAAGCCTGGCAATGATATATATATATATATACTGTATGTATATACATATGCATATATGTATATATATATATATACATGGCTTCCATTTCGCACCTAACGCATTCGCTGGGGTCCGCTTGCTTCTGCGGTGCCCCAAATCACCACGTTGGCCACCACCAGGCCGATGGCGATGGGAATGACTGGGATGCCGCCGCCCTCATTGCCGGCCGACGCCTTGGCGCAAGCGATGCGAGTTCGCCCAAGCGATGTGAACCCCAAGTTCCAATTTGGATGATGCCATGTCCAAGGTAAATCATGGTGATGTGAAAATCCTTCGATTTC